CATCCATTCGATTAGAATACACAAGGAAACTGCTTGTTCGATGGATGAATGAATTAAAGAAATAATCAACAAAGAATCAGCCCTCTGCAAGAAATTGTTTCACCTGTAAAGATATGCTGGGAGTTGGTATTAGGTCCATCTCAGTAGGAACTGAGGCTCAAGAACTTGGAGCAGAGACACATGGAGCTGATTACAGCCCTCCACCGCTGGCAGCCTCCCTCAGCCAGTGAGGAGACATCACTGGGATGAGCGGCTGGGTTTCCTGTGCAGTCTCCCTGGGGGCAGGAACTCACCCCGCCTCAGCACACCAGCCCACTGCCTTGCTCAGCACAGTCTCTCGTCTCCAAACGGTGACTGATGTTTCTGCTGAGCTAAGTACTCAATCAGCCTTCCCACGACTCCGTTAGTTCTCCAACTGACTTACGAGGAAAAGTCCGCTCAAGGCACCGATGTGCAAGAAAAAGGGAAGCACTTAATAGTTTCATAACTGGTTCTCTTCCATAAAAGGGGTAATGAATAACATCAAAGCCTCCTCTAACTCCAGAACAATTACACAGAACACAATCTGTCTAGTTGAAGGGAAGACCCCTCATTGAGAGAGCCCCACAATTTACATCCTCCTTTGATTACGGCCCACGGAGCCAGTAGCCCTGGGCTGCTTCATGCTGAGTTCTTGGCCACTGTTAATAGACCACATCTAGGGTCTTTTTTGCCTTTTCTAAGCCCAGCATTTTGACTTCCATGGATTCCTTGAATTAAAACAAATATTAAATCCAGTTGGGACAATAATCCCCACCTCTGACGTCGACACTATTTGAATTTTGTTTTTACAGGAGCATCAGAAACTGATGATGAAAAGATGCTGACACAGCCCATCTAATCCTTTATACATGTTTGTACAATCTCATCATAACCTGGTAGACTCCCTGAAGGTTCCACACCCTTGGCTTCTCAGAAGTTTAGGACTGCAAGCCCTGACAGGATGGGGCACAGAACCCGAAGAGGTTGAACCTGGCAGCACTCCCCCAAAACACCAGGTCATTGACTGAAAACTCCTGTGTAAGAAATCCAGCATGGGCTAAAAAAATATTAAGAAGCACCCCCAGAAAATGATGACTAACAACAAACCCAACCAGGATCAGAGCATCTGACACAGGCAGGAATGCAGGGCCTAAAGAAACTCTTCCAAGTGTGGAAATTAACTCACAAGGCTCTTGATGAATCCTTTTCCTTTTCGTGAATGTGGAGATGTATGAGTGAATCTGACCAGATGTAGATACACTGTCATAAGTCTGTTCCTGGCCATGGGTAGTTTAAGGGGCACTTTATCACTGGTACCTTGTTACCTATGTCATTTGGACAATGTACTCGTCCTTTTCAGATAAGCAACTCGCCTGACAGCCTAATTTCAATAATGTATTCACTCTCATTCCTCTGTGACAAAGCTCTTGACTTAATATTTTTCCTAAATACTCCCATTTACTTGGGACTAAGATTTCTACTTGCTTTATTCGCTCTCTTAGGAATATTTCAACCATCTAATATCCCCACATCCTACATTTTGTCCCTTTTAAAAAAAAAATCTGTTATTTCCCTTTCTAGGACATCCTACCAGGTTGCTGATCTGCATTTTACAGTCTTCCAGCTACTTCTGCGGCCACGCTCCTTCTGCTGACCAGGACTATCACTTCCCCAAACGTAGCTGAAGACCTACTACGTGCCAGGCATGTGCACAATGCCAGAAGTACAGAGAGAAAAACGACAGCTCCTACCCTCAAGGGCTTCTCATTTTAATGAGGATGACTTGTTAACAAATAGATGAATCACGGTGCCATCACTCCCGTAAGAGGTATACACAAAGCTCCTTCTGCCCCAAGGCAAGGCAGTAAAAATTACACAGAACACACTTCAGGGAGAGGTCAACACCGGCTGGGAAAAGCTTCAAAGAAGGCTGAGTCAAGCTTTGGATTTGAGTTCAAACTTTACCCAGTGAAGACGAGATGGAAGCATCTTCCAGGCATTGGGAATTGCTCTACAAATGGCTTGGAAGAAATCTGAGGACTTTCTGTGTTTGGAAAGAGAGGAATTTGCTGGTAAGAAAGAGGGCAGGAAGTTATGCAAGAAACATCCTTTGGGGTCAAAATGAGAGGTTCTTGAGTATCAGAGAAAAGAGTTTTGATTTTGTTCTATAAGAAATTGAGGTGCCATCTATAGCTTTTAATGGAAGGCCTGATCATGTCTGTGGTTCACAAAGAGAGCGCTGACACTGGTGTTCAACATGGCTGCGTGCTTGGACCTTCACCAGCTCTTGTTACTGGGAGCTGCAGGGATTGCCCACCCTGCTCTAGCCGATTCTTCACGTCCCTGCACTTGTCCTTCTGACCTGCGACCAGCTTTGATGGGCTGAATGCTGATTATCAGGGAAACCATAACTTTTAAGATATCTAAGTAAACACTGTAATTTTCAGAAATGGACAAGTATAATGTCCTCCAATGTATAAAACAGTAACACAAGCATGTGTTACACACAGCAGGAGACAGACAGGAGTTGAGTTTTTGAGTGAAACATGGTTTAAAAAAGAGAAATTGGGTTTCTCTGATGGTACAGCAGTGAGTCTGAATGAAGCAAGAGCCTTGTAAATTAAACTTAGACGTTCTTTGCTATCAGCTGGGAACCAACGATAATGATTTGAAGACAGCAAAGGCAAAGTCATGGTGAAATGGATTTAGGTTCCTGAAGTGAATTATTATGGACAGGATTTGTAAAGAGACTTTTTACCTGCTAGAAATCACCAAACCAGGATAAACATTAATTCTCAGAATGTCGTAAACAAAGGAAACACTGAAACAGATTAGCTCAAGCTAAAGACAAGGGAGACAGGATGAAAAGGATGAAGGTAATCTGTCAGGTGAGGTCACATTGGTTACTGCAGCTAGGGTCACCATGCAGGCAAGAGAGAAACGTTTGAGACTGAAGAGGGAGCATTCCTCCCTGGCCACAAAATCTGAAGGCAGACGGCGGTATGACCTGATTTCCTGATACCTGTCTTCAGTGAAGTAGACAGAAAAAATCAAAATTGCAGGAAGGAACTAAAGATCACTCAAGGTAGAAGTGACTGCCAGGAGGACTGCGTCGGAATAAACTAACGTCATTTGCTGCAATAGTTAATTTGCTAATAGAATGACCACTTTAGCCTTGAACTGGGATCAGATCTTCGTTCCATCACTAACTAAATGTCTAGCCTTCAGCAAGACATTGCCCTGCCCTTTGCTTTCATTTTTATTATCAGAAAAATAGAGATTCTGATTCATTTAATTATCCTGATTGTAAAGTTGTTACATGTAATAAACAGAAAATGGGAGAGTAACCAAATAGCACTTAACTTAGCACATAGCAAATACACAATGAATGTTGGGAGAAAGAGCCACGTTTTCTCAGCAGATGGAGTGGTCTCTTGCTTCCTATAGTATAATGCAATTCATGACGACATTTTTTTTTAATGGCCATAACTAATGACCAATAAATCTCAATGGCAGCAGCAATTAAGGTGTAAATCTTGCCCAACAGAAGTGGTTTCAACCAGTACTGGGAACAGAGGAAGCTGCCACCAGACTTATAAGGACAAATATGACATCGGAGGCTGGAGACTCTGACCGGGACCGAGGCTGGTGCTATAGCCAGTGTCATGAAAAATGACCCCAAATTTGGAAATAGGCAAAAGGATTCAAGGTTTTCTTTGCTGAGTAGTAGAAGGTGTTCTAGTACCTCAATTTGCTTGAATAATTACCTGACTTCCAAGATTTGTGAATCTTTGTCTCCCTATTAACTATCAACAAACATCTTTAACAGAGGTGAGGTTAGTGTACGGAAAAACTTTTAAGTAAATGACTGCGATCAATGAAGATGATTTTATTCAACGGCAATGTAAGTAACTTCTGTCGAGGATAAAAGGTAAAAGCAAGTATTTCAAAACTATCTTTCAAGGCAATAAACACTATCTCTCAGCACATTCATTTCCCCATTCCTTTAACCAATTGATAGGTCTCTATTCCTTGATTCTGTTTTGAACTATCTTAAGCATTGTACAGACCCTCTGAGTAATCAACATGTTAAATGCAATCTTTGGCCTAAATTCAAATTCTATGAGAGTCTCATTAAGCTTTTGAACATGATACTTTAGCACAAACTCCTCTTTTAAATGACAATACAAATCCCTGTGAAAGAAGTCTTGATTACTACGTGCATTTGTTGATATTTCATTATAAAGTTGCCTTACTTATATATCCGTATGTAACTCACTCCAGATGGTACTTTGGTCCTTTGTAATTAATTTCACGATTCTCAAAATCCTAAAGACTCCTATTCAGGTGTTGCTAAAAGGGAAGCTCTGAATTCACGGGCATTAGTCCATAGCTCTGGTGGGACAGCACCTCAACTGAGTCTGCCAAGTTCTCCAGCCACTTATGTTAACTTTGCCTGTGCAGCTGCTGCTCAAAGAAGGACAGTGCCAGATTTCAAGGATGACCGCTTATCTCATCTTTCACAAAAGCAATTAAAGCACGAATGCTGACTACACTCCCGCTCCATATTTCAATATAAGAAGTTGGGGGGGGAGACAGAAAGGAGGACAGGCTTATCCATCACTTCTGGTTGTGCCAGACCAGCCCCAGTAACCACCTTCCTGCCTCCTCCTGATACGCACATGCTCACATCGTACTCTCCCCACGGGGATCAGAGACACTACTTATCTAGTAATAACTTACACATTACTTATAAAAGTATTTGATAAACCCTTGCTATAAGCAAAGCCTCCTAGAGGCTGTGCACATGTGTTAAATAAGAAATAGAAAGCATGATTTCTGCTGTGGACTGTTTGTGTCCCTCTAAAATTCATGTATTAATATCTAATGCCCAATGTTTTAGGAGGTGCGACCTGTGGAGGTCATCAGGTCATCAGGGTGGAGCCCACATGAATGGGATTAGTGCCCTTATGAAAGTGGCCTTTGAAAGCTCCCTTGTTCTTTCTGCCACATGAGGTTACAGTGACAAGACAAGCCTAGGAGGCAGGCTCTCACCAGATACACAATCTGTCACTGCTGTGATCTAGAACTTCCGCTCCTAAATTACAAGAAACATTGATTGTTTGTAAGTCACCAGGTTTATGGAATTATGTTATGGCAGCCTAAACAGACTAAAACAATTTGTTTAATGAAAAGTGTTCACCTTTTGCAAGAATTAAACATATTAATAGTAACTGAAACTCTTTGTGAATTTTCAAAGGCCTCATTTATAAGCAAGAATTACTTAAAATGTTAGGTAAAGATGTTCCTTTTCCTTGATTTAACCAAGTATTAAACAGGGCTCTCACACTATGATCACTGAAATTGTTATCTGATCAGACAGATCATCTGGGACACAAGAAGGAAGAGGAAAAAGAGAAGATATTGTCTTGCTAAAGGGCTTTCATTTCAGCGGCTTTGTGAAAACATTTTTTCAAACCACTGCTATTCATTGAATTATTTTTCATGGATACTTAAAAATGCTATCACTATTGCAGATGTAATATGAAGTCAAATAACCCCCAAGACATTAAAGAAAATCAATAAACCACCAAAACCAAAATATACAAAAATGCGCATACTGGCTGAAATTCCTGTAAAAATATGAGTCACTTGAGAAAAATCTTATGAAAAAATTTAGTACGGACTATACAGATGCAAGCTCTTCCTTAAAAGTTTTAGGGAGAGAAAAAGAAAATATAATCCAAATAATAATACATTTTCTTTTGTTCTGCAAGTCTGAATTTTTTTTTTTAATCAAAGACAGGTAGGCTACTTACTGATAGGAGAAATCACTGTTGAATGAGAATATTAGAAACCTATGTTTTCTTTTTTTTATTAGTAGCTTTATTCCTCAACTCAAGAATTCCTAGTGAAGACGGCACTGGAGGGTCCCGTTTTCTAAACATGTTTATTGTAGTATAGTTGATATGCAATATACTATACATATTTAAATGTACAGTATGATAAATTAACATGTATATGCCCTTAAAACCACTATCCCAATCAACACAGCAAACCTCGCCATCAATTCCAAATGTGCTGGGAGTCTCTTCTGCAAACCATCCCTCTCTGCTCCATGCCCTGTCCACAGACAACCACTGATTCTTTCTGTCACTCTACGTTAGTTTGTATTTCTTAAGCACTTTCTATAAACGGAATTAGAAAGTATGAACTCTTTTCTGGCTGCTTTAATTCACTCAGTATAATGATTTTGAAATCCAGGCATTGTTTACTATGTATCGATAGTTCATTCTTATTACAAACACTTACTCTGTTGTGTGGATACATTACCTCACGTTTAGTCAATCACTTGTTTGTCTAATGACAGCCCATACACTAGGTATCCTATTTCCATTCCTCCCTCCTTGTCCTATTCTTGATGCATTCCATCTAAACAAATGGCATCGTCCTCTGAGCAATCCCAACAGTAAAGCGGATCTTATCTCCATCTCCCTCACCCCTACGTCAACTGTTCTCCAACGCTATAGAGTCACCTAGAATATAAACACAGGAATAGCACAGGAGCTGTGGGAATGCCTTAAATATTTAATTATGTTTTAACTCCATTATCAAGTCCACTTGACCAGTGTGCTTAAATCAAGCTATTAAGTTTTACATGATCCTTCTATTCACTTTACCCAGTCTGAATCATTATGTCCTTTTTAAGGCATGAACTCTTTCTATTCTACCCTCTGATGTGTACACCCATAGTATTTTTTTTATGATCACCTCATTCCATTAAAGTCATTGGACTGATGTATGTAAAGAGATTACGTTACTCATCTGAGAAGATATATACATATTCTTACTTTATACATGTAACGTGTAATATATAAAATATATAAAATACGCAACCATGAACGTATACACACATTTTAGAAGTTATTACAGGTAGTCTCTTTTTCAGATTGACTTTCATTTGGAATCTTCCTTTGTCTCTTCCAAATATATGACAGTATATTCTGGAAAGTCACTTTTCCTTCTGCATATTAAACTACATAACTGTGCTCTCAGTCTGTAACATTTTCCCTGATTTGTTTTCTGCAAGACGGGGCATTTTGAGGATGCCTTGATAAATACAAGCTATTTCCCTAATGACCCTAAAATCCTTTTTGATCAAACTCTGTCATCTCTGAGATGCAGAAGTCTATGGTAACATTCAGCTCGTCTCCGAAAGCTCTGCAGCACAAAGGTTGAGAAAGTGGAAAGCCACAGACATAATCTGCAGAACACTTTTACGGCATTATTTCTGACTTAGAGATAATGCTGATTAGCGATCACACTACGGCATCAAACTTCAGCACGGCGTCTTATCATTCTAAAAGTTTTATTTCTATCCTCAAGTCTCTCAATATGACTCTTGCTCTCTAATCTGTGCCCATCTGTAATAAAGCACCAGAGAGCTGCCACCTATTTAACTGAATTTTACTCTAGTCATGTTTATGCCAACCAGGCATTTAAAATATTTTATCTTTATTGCAAAATAAAGACCTTTGTTCCCTGTTACGATAATATTAGGCATTAATATTCAGGTATGGAGAATTATTTTGAACTGGCCTACAGCAAACATATTTACATCTAATCATAAGCTAGACTGTGGATGTAGTTCTAAAATAACCCACTTTATCTCTCATCATCCACACTGTTCTGTGCTCTGTGTGGGGAAAGCTATCACCACTTTGAATCTAGCCCTGGAAACATCAAGCATTAGAAGCTTTCAGTATTTAATACCACTAAATACATTAGTTTTACAAATATGACCAAATATGCCTAACTTACCATACTCTAATCATTAATATATTTTTCTTATTTTTGCTTTTTTAAATTACTCTCTTGTATATATGTAAACATACTTTGATGTATGTTCATTCTTTTATTATATTATAAAGTCAAGTCTACATAAAAGTCTACATATTTTTCTTCATTGACACATTCACAGATTTTTATTAACTCCAGAAATCTCTACAGACTACACGTGACACTACTGAACCTCATGACAAGTAAGGATCGTCATGTCAGTTCTCATGAATGGACACCACATCAAGACATCACAGCAAACACACAACAGGCCAAGGCACATCATTACAAGTACACCTTTTAATCATCTCTAATTTTTTATAAAACATTACTTTTAAACATAATGAAGCATGAATTGTTAGCTTGAAATCGCATGAACTAATGAATTTCTGTTTTCCTACACTCTGACATACCAACTGTATTTATCTCTGAAATAAATGGTACTGAGTACATTTTGTACACAGAGTGCATGAGTATTAGTAGAACAAAGGAGTCATTTGATTTATGGACTTTAAAACCATTCTTACGATCAGGAATCACACACAAGGCATTACTGACTTCTTAATATTAGTCTTTCGTATCTGCTTAAAAACGGATTTTAAAGATACTTATTAGATTAGATAACACATAATTACAAAATTTGGGGCAACTTTTTTGGGGGGATATATCAATATATTTTAAAATATATGATATATGCTTTCATTAATTCAGAAAAGAAAAAAAAATGAATGCCTAGTGTGTGCCAGCTCCTTTAAAACTTTTTTCATCATATAATTAGTTCAAACTATTTTACCCAAAATATTCATAACATCAGAACTACTAAGTACCTTGTTTAGGTCCTCAGAAATGACTAAAGTTGATACTGAAGCTCTGATGTATTTGATCTCATTGACGTGCTCTGGTCACTATATGCTTCCTTCAGAGCATGTTAAATGTAGTAAGAGAGAGAGTGCGCGGGAGATTAATTTTGGGAAGTGTAAAAATCAACTACTAATTTTTCCTAGGAAGAATCTTACAACAGTCTTACACAAGATTGAAAATTCTGCTTCTCTGTAATTTAGCAATGTCTTGGTTTGGGGTCTCCTACCCTCATAGGCACAGAGCTGACCCAAAGCTTTGATGGGCTCCCTCTTTCCCAGTGTGAGATGTAGATGCTTCCTTGTTAAGGACAAACTTTCCCTTTTTAGAGAATGCTTGTGGGAGCAAATGAAACAACTGTCTGACGTGGAGAAATTCATTACAGAGTAAATTGAGTTTTCAAATCACATTGTCCATGACATAAATTGAGCATGAAACCTTATTTCTTCAAAGATGAAAGGCACAACAGAGTTGAGCCCATGAAATTTATTTCTACTCAAAGATTCCCTCATTACAAGCACACTGAAATTTTAATAAACTCACAAGTATTTGCTGGATGCCTACTATGCTCATGTAGAATTTAGTCTCTAGAGAACTTCAAAGGTAACACAATCAAGCTAGTGAGACTATCAACCAACTACAAGACCTACAAGCTTGTATGTGTTCTCGCATTCTGTTTAGAATGCCAGAATAGTCTAGAAATTTCATCTGGTTTCTATAGAAATTAATTTCAAAGTTTCACTTTTAAGACTTTACAAAAAATATCTCGTTTTCTTTGTGATATCATTGTCGTCAGATGCTCTGTCTAATTTTCCTTTCCTTTTTTATTTTATGCCCTAAATTAGGCCAGAGCTTAAGTTTATTCCACTTACCATCAACTTGATTACTTGGCTACCTGTCTCTCTTCTTGGCTCATTATCTAAAGCTCTACCATGTACTATGTGTGTAACATGGCCGAAGTTATTTAACCTCTGTATGCCTTTGCTTCCTCACTTGAGTTAACAGAGCCCATGTATTATTTCTGTATTCCTAAGATTAGCTAATATGTCATGCATTACATAAATACCTGCTACATGGAAAAATTCACTTATGGTTTGATTATAAATTAAAACTGAAAAAAAATAATTATAATCACAAAGACATTTTGACTGTTAGCATCCATATTTACCGCTGACTGTTAATATTAGGTATCTTGCCAACTATCACATTACAAAAAAAAAGGAGCAACACAAGTTTTTCAACCTATTCTAAAATGTCAGAAAGACAAGAAATAAATATGATGACCACATAAGTTGAATTCAACAGAAAACACAGTAAGGAAACTTAGTGGCCAAATCAGTATACTGTAATTATAAACGCATAAAGAAAATTGTTCCTGA